TTTTATGGTGGATTTCTACTTCATAAATCTGCTACTAGTTTTACTTTTTTGCTTAGCACAAATTTAAATTGTTTTGCTGTTCTCTTTCTAACTTCCTGAGATGGATGCTTAGCTCACTGATGTACAACATAAAAAAAAAAAGAATACTTTCCATGAATGGAGTTAAAGTTTTGCTCATAGAAGCCCAAATCTGGAAACAACTTAAGTGTCCATGAAGGGGAGATTAGATAAGCATATCCTGTAGAGCCACACAATGGATTACACAGCACAAAATAGAATGTTACTATTGACACCTACAACAATGCAGATGAAGCTCAAATAAATTATGTTGAATGAAAGAAGCTAGACAAAACATAATAAATATGTGTGATTCCATTCATATGAAACTCAAGAACAGGCTAAACTAATCTGAGGTGACAGACTCAAACAATGGTTGCCTGTTATGAAAATGTTCTATTATTTTGATTGTGGTAGTGGTTGCATGGATTTATACATTTGTCAAAATTCATTGAATTGCATACCTAAAATCAATGCCTGGCAGTGTAGGTGAAATTTTATCTCCATATAAAATATTATGAAAGAAATACATGAATTACACATTATGCTGTAGTAATGTGATGCACATAGGTAAGAATTACACAGATTTATAATGCTGTCTGCTCTCACTTGTAACTTTTTGTTGATATTAATGCCCTGTTTTGTATTTTAATTCGTTGTTCTTGATCTGTGATGGGATGGGAAATAGAAAACTAAGCACGGGAATTTAGGTGAATGAGTCTCTAGATGGATCCCGCATGTAGAATCTGAGGATTTTAGTAAAGGATTTTTTTGATAAGTGTTTAGAGAATTGCAATTCTTACTTGATAATATGTAGATAGTATATTGTGACCCAGAAAGTACAAATACGTAAGAAGAGAGATAAGGGAATCACTATACATATGCCAGAATGCACATATGAAATATTCTATTTGTTTAACAACAATGAATAAAAAAAACACACACACACAAGAATGCTGATAATTCCAAGATTCCGTTTTGTAGCCTGTTTGATATTTTGAACTTTTTTATTAGTCCCTTTTAGGTCAAGAATATTTGTGATTTAAATCCCAACTTTCTAAGGGAGAAAATTATATGTTGCATCCTGATGGTCCCTTTAGAAATGATTAGATTTTTATTCTTTTCTTTGTTAGGTACTGAACCAATTGTATTTGCTACCTAAAAGAACTTACATATCTTTAAGAAATGTTTGCTCTAGGATCACTGAGGTTAAAGGGAAGGCTTTGTTTTATATCTATTTCTTCATTTCCATGTCAAGGTGACATTTTATGTATTCTGGTTTGAAGATGTAGATTATTGCTGTTTGGGTCATTGGTTTACATGGTTTAATTTGTTGTTGCTGATGTTGTTGTTTGTTTGTTTGTTTGGATTTGTTTTATTTTTTTTTAGGGGGTTCTTTAATGTATTTTCTCCAACTCTGGAGTCCTATTCTCACCTTCAGGAAAGAAATCCAAAAGCTGTCTTGCATAACAAGTCAGCAAATTCTTAAGTTTATTCTCTGTTCCAAATATTGATGGGACCTTGCTATTTTACCTTGAGGTGACAAGACTTCCAAGTGAGGAAACTGAACAAGATGATTGGTATGGCAGCTTCTTTTACATCCATGTGTGCTCTTCACTCCTGAAGATTACTGCAGGTGGACTGAGACCTTGGAAGCCTCTCCTGTCCAGTTTTGTCTTGATGCTAGACCTGGCTCACAATACCGGAAATTACCAACATTTACTGTGAAGAGATTTCCTTGCGTCAGCATTTTCTATTACTTTGTCATGGACTCCTATTACATTCACAGAATGATTTGAGCTTCTGTTTTTTTCCCTTGAGCAAAGAAGAAAATAGAAAAAAAAAAGTGTTTGGTTGGGGGGGGCAATCTTGATATTTGTTATTATGCAGTTTTACTTGTGAAGCATAATTTATAGCCACAAGTCTCCTTTTTTGTATTAGGTGCCACTTCAGATGTCCGATGCTAAACAGAAAGTGCTATAAAAATGTCCGTCCTCCCTCAGAGAGATTCAAATGCTTGACAATAAAGTGAGAAATGGTTTCACATGTAACCTTGGTGCCACTTTCATGGAATATTTATTTGTCAATTATTTTATTCTTAGGCTAGTTTTATGCCTGTATTTTTTTTTCCTACTGTGACTTCCAACACTCTGGTAACCACATCTCCCTGTAGGCATTTGTGTTTTGATAACATTTCTCTAAGTCCTATCTATTCTTCCATCTACATCCTACTTTCTCTTTGGTTGAAGTCAATTCAAGGAGTGGTCAGAGGGAAAACTTCTGTAACAGGAGGATACAGGGGAAATAACACTTTACTATTGCCCCCCTGCATAGAGCTGCCAGAGACAGGCCAGCTTTACACATCTGCTCATGATCTTCAACAGTAAATCAGAACCCTTGAATAAAATCCAAATTCCTTCTTTCAATATTCAACTTACTCATCTAGCTCAAGATCATTACTACATGAACCCAAAACTATCTAAATTTTTACAGAAGCTATTTTTCAACACACATATTTTACTTTGTACAATAAGCACATGACAAGGATACAAACTCTATTTATAGTGTTTCTCATTCTTTCAGATCCCCAATTCTTCATTCCCTAGGACTTTCTGATTTCAGATACTGGCAGTTCAGCTCTCCAAAAAATCTGATCTGCCTCTTAGTGCAAAGAGCAATGACCTTACCTTCAATAGTGCTTATTGTTCCATTCTATTGTATGTTGAGTTTTTTCCCTTGATCCTAAGACAAAAATTGTGATTGAAATAGTTTATCAAATATTTTTTTTCCTTAAAACTACAAACATTGTTTCATTCATTGGGGTTTTTTTAATATATATATTTTTGGTACTGGGGATTGAATTCAGAACCCCATGCATAGAAGTTACACCAGTGAGCAACATTCCCAGCCCTTTTTTAATTTTTTTTTTTCTATTTTGAGCCTGGGTTTCACTAAGTTGTCCAGGTTGGCTTCAGACTTGTGATACTTATATTTCAGTTTCCCAAGTAGCTGAGATTATAGATGTGTGCTACTGTGCCTGACCCTAAGTAACCTTTAAAAAAAGGAGTATCTATCAAAAAATTTGTCTATTTTATCTGTGGTATAAACTTGCTTATGATATTTTGATTCAAGATGAATCTTTCATGATATTTCTTTAAACATTTTATTTTTATTTTCATACACTCATTTTTATCTTAAGACAGAGTCTCACAGATTTTCTCAGACTGACCTCAAACTTGGAAACTTCCTGACTGAGCCTCACAATCTTGAAATTACTGTTTGTAATTTTATTTTATTTTTACTTCTTTATTCTTAGTCATTTTTATAAAGACCCAACTTTTGAGTCACTTAGTTTTGTCAATATTATTTTTTAAATTTCTATTCCACTAATTAAGTGTATTCTTATTCTTTGTTGAATATTTTCTTCTACTTGCTCTTAATGTTTTCACCTTTTTTAGCTTCATATATTTGAAAATAAAGTTATTAATTATAAATCTCTTTTAAATATCTACATTAGCGCTATCAATTTACTTCTAAGCATTGCTTCAACAAGTACACAACCATGTTGAGATGTGATATTCTATATCATTCAGTTTGAATATTTTTAAAATGTACTTACTATTATTTGATTTAAAATTTATTTAAAATTTAAATTTACCAAATTTTTAGGATTTTTTAAATATAATATACAATGGCTTCCTAATTAATTTTATTGGGTTCGGAAAGTATACTAAGTATAATTTTTGAGTATAATTTTTATGTTTTGATGTTAGGCTAATTTTCTGGCCCAAAATATGATTAACCAAAGTGAAACCATTACAAATAATTGAATAGTATGTGTTTTGTGTGTCATTATTTTTGTAATATTTTATGCACTTTTTGTGATGTTTTGTGCACTTTTTCTTCATGTTACCAATAAAAGTGGGTTGATAGTTCCTGTACAGTTGTATGTTTGTCTCTTTCTCTTATTATTTTTTGTTCTGTACATTTTGAGACTCTGCTATGGGTATAAACATTTGTAATTGTGATGTTTCCTAATGAAGTGATTCACTATTATTGTCACACTATAATAGTTCTTGGCGTAAAGTTATTCTGTTGTATATTTATATAGCCATTTTATTTTATTTATTCTCACTATATTAAGCTGTATGCATGAATCCATTATTTTATTTTTGACCTCTCTTTGATTTTTGTAGACTGTAGATTTGGGTTTGCTTTTTAAATCCAGTCAAATAATCTCTGTCTTTTGATGAGAATATTTAATCCATTGATACTTAATATTGAATGATGTGATTTATCTTTACTGATTGATATTGTTCCTACTTATTTCTTTTGTTTTGACATTGTATTTCACATCTTACCAGACTATATGGCTTTATTTCATAATAAGGCAAACTTAATTCTGTTTTACTTAAAATCCATGTGCTTTATTTTCTTGTTTGCTGCTCTAAGTTACAATATACATCCTTAATTGACTACACTCTAGTTTGTAATTAAACTGTCTCAATAACATAATTATATAAATTTTTAAACATCTCTCTAGTTACCAAACCCTGTGCTTTGTGCTTTTGCTGTTGTATACAGTTTAGTTATGCATATTTTTAAAAAGTAAGTCATTTGTCCATTAAGACATTTAAAAAATTCATTTGGATAATTTCAAGGATATTTCTTTATGTGTGGTAAAGTTTCATTTAGCTATGATGTCCTGTGCATGTGTATGTGTGTGTTTGTGTATGTGTATTAGGAGATCATGCATGTTTTATATTTAATCTCCTTGAGTATCAAATTTCTTCATGTTCTTTTTTCTTTTCTTTTTTTTTTTTTTTTTTGGTTTGTTTGCTTGAGGGATTGAACCTAGCGCTTCCCATGCTAGGAAAGCCCTTGACCACGGAGATACATCCCTAGTCCTTTTAAAAGTTTTATTTTGAAGAAGGGTTGCATTAAGGTGCCCAGTCTCATTTTGAACTTGGCAATCTTCCTGCCTCAACCTCCTGAGCAGCTGGAATTACAAGTGGACACTACCACACCCAGCTCATTTAAAAAGTTTTTTTTAATCACTTTTCTTGTTTTGATTGGACTCTCATTACATAATTTAGTTGTAATATTGTCTCAAAGATTCTGTGATTCTGTTCATTTTATAAATTAAAGCTTAATTTGAGATAATTGCAGATTCACATGAAGTTTTAAGAAAGATTACAGAATGATTACATTTTCTCTTTACACAGTTCCATGCAATGGAAATGCTTTGCAAAACTTAGCACATGATCACAGGCAGGGCATTGACATTGAGAGTTAAGATATAGAACATTTCCATCATCACAAGGATCCTTCCTGTTGCTCTTTTACGAGTGCATCCATTTCCTCTTCCATCTTCAAAACTGGCCAACTGCTATTCTATTGTTATTTCTATGATTTTTTAAATTTCAAGAATGTTGCAATATTTACCATTCTGGAATTGACTTTTTCAGTTAGCATAATTTTCTGGAAGTATATCTGAGTCATTTGTGGATATTAAGAGTTCATTCTTCTTTATTGCTGTGTTATTTTCCATGGTGTGGAAGTACTAAAGTTTACTGTTCATCTACCAAAGTGTATTGTGTATCTGCTCTACACGTTCATGCGTGATTTTTACCCCACTCTGGAAAAAAAACCCTAAAAGTCCAATTGCTAGGTATTATATGGCTGTTGCTTGTTTAATTTTTAATAGTCAGCCAAACTGTTTTCCAAAGTGGCTGTACCACAGTATGTTTCCATCAACAAATATCTAGTGATCAAGTTTTTCCACACCCTAAACAGCAGTTGATGTGTCTTTTAGCTATTCTGATAGATATAGTGGTAAGTCATTGGGGTTTTAATTTACACTTTCCTAATGGTTGAATATCTATTTTCTATCCTTGTATCATCCCTGGCAAATTGTCTTTTCATGCTCTTTGCCCTTTTGTTTTTATGATAGAAAGGTGTTGTTGTTTTTGTTATTGTTTAGTATTAAAGTTTGAGAAATCCTTAGAAATTCTCTGTACTAGTTCTTTGTTAGACATATAATTTGAAAATATTTTTGTTTCTCCAGTCTCTGGCTTTTTTTTAAACCTTCTTAATAGAATATTTGCAGAGCAAAAGATTTAATTTTAATTAAATTCAATTTACAAATTTTTTGTTAGATGCTCTTGTATTAAATTAAATAACTCATTGAATTACCTAAAATACTGAATTTTTTCTTCTTTGTTTTACTTTTTCAAGTCATACATTTTCCGTGGTGCATTTTGACTTAAATTTTTTACATGACACTTATGTAAAGGTTCATTTTGTTTGTTTGTTTGTTTATAGATTTCCAATGGATCCACCAATAATTGTTGAAAAGACTTTTTCCTCCATAGAATTGATTGTGTGTCTTTGTCAAAACTCAGGTGGGCACATTTTTGAAGGTCTATTTCTGAGTTCTCTATTATGTTCCATTGATCTATCATCTATGTTTTATTGATCATGTGTTAATGCCCCCATCAATACTACACAATTTTGATTACCATAGCTATATAATAAGTACTGAAAATGAGTAAACTGAGTCCTCCCACCTCAATCTTCTCTTTCAAAATTGACTTAGCTATTCTGACTCTGTTATATTTTCATATAAATTAAATTATCTTGTATATATATATGCAAAATAACTTGCTGAGATTTTGATAGGACTTGTATTAAATGTGTATAACAATTTTGGAAAAGTCTGTATTTTTACTATGGTGAATTTTGTAAGCCATGAACATGTTTTATGACTATATACATTTAGCTCTACTTTGATTTATTTCACCAATATTTCAGAGTTACAAACATATGTTCCTATATATATTTCGATAGATTTATACCTATTTAATTTTTTATAAAATAGTAAATGGTATTGGGTTCTTGGTTGTGATGGCCACATGTTCAATGGCACTGTACAGAAATAGAATTGACTTTGGTATATTTTTGTTTTATACTATTGGTATGAAAAGCTCAGTCCTTTTCCCTGATGCCACTCCTATAACAAGGATCTAACAAGGGCACTGTTGAAAGAAAA